CTGATTTAACTTTGTTTAAGCTGGAGGTATAAACGTATATAGTTTCCCAAGCCTCCATTGCAAAAGATCATGATCTCATCTCTTGCAGTCAGGGTAATTTTCAGTAACGTAGAACAGATAGCCCATTACCTATATCATTTGCAAAGCTATATGCTCAAAGACATGGAATTCCCACAATACATTCAAGTAATAATTCACATGGGGGAATTTATGCCTACTTCCAGGTGTTGTATACTTCATGCCTTTAATAAGGAAAACAATTGTGCTTTTTTCTTAGTTAAGGCAATTACAGATAGGATTCGAATGTACATCTCATCTTCAGTGTTATCTTTGTAAGTGACTGAATTAGTGAAGGAATTCGACTGGAATTTAGCCTGTGGCAAAGAACTGAATGGGTTAATTATACAACACTCCTTCTATCCCTTCTAAATCAATTGCCTCTTAATTTCGACGACTGTCCCCTTAAGAAGATGAAAAGGACCTAATTGCCTCCCTATAGACGAGTTGTATCTGCCTTTGCCTCTGAAATACATTTTTATACTCCGGTGCTATATTTTTGTACAGTTTAACTTGATCATGTATCAAAATGTTTTCCTTCCCTTTAGCTGTTAATTACTTTGTGATATCCTCAGGTTATTTCTGAGACATTTCCTGACAAGATGGCCAAAACAGGGTGCTACATAACTGTTAAAAAAAAAAAGACTGGGCTGATACAACAGACTTATTCTTTCTGTTTTCTTTTCTTTTTTTCTTTTTTTTTTTTTTTCAATTTCCATATCTTTTTCCTTTCCTTTATACAGCTGAGGATATTACAGGTATGTCCTTACATTTTTGTCAATGTTACTGACAAAATCTACTTTTGTAGAATTTAGTGTAACAACACATATCCTTGTATTACTAATAGCTCCAGGTAAAGCTGTATTGATTCATATTGATTCAAGCATAAAGAGGGATAAAGCTTCTGGAGAATGGGGATCAAACCCAGTATCTTATCAGATAAATCTGCATTTCAGAGTACCTGAGCTTAACATTATGTATCTTGAAAAAGAGCACAGAACTTTGGCCTCTCCAGAAAATTCCTATGATTCTCAGCCTGAAGTGTCAACTGCCAATACCTTTTACTGGCTTTTTAGGGCTCCCACGGTTCTTTTCAACACACAGAGGTCATAGACAGAGATTCTGCAATCATTTCTTATTCCTGGGGCATGTGAAGTGCACAAGTGGTTACTATTTCAAATGTCTCATGTCATTCAAACTTTCCCTCATATTTTCCCTTGGCTTTCTGACAAAGCTGAGAACCTTTAAAAAAGAAATAACCAATGGTTAGCTCTGTAACAGCTGAAACAAATCTAAAATGGTATTGCTGATTTTGTAATGCTGGAGTATCTAGTATCTGTAATAAATACTTTATTAAGTATAACAGTAATATTTATAACATCTTTGGATGTTATATATTAAACATCCAAAGAACCTAATTATTGACATCTGTCATTCTAAAGTTGTCATAATAGCAGCAGATATGATGTGCAACAATTCACATTTCAAACTTCTTGTTCCATTTCTGTTCGACTCCTCAGAAGCGGTTTTCACCCTTTAGACCTCAAAATCTGAGATATTTAAACCAGCTGCAGTCTGGGAAAAAAACCTTCACAGCACAAAGAAGCATTTTATTTAACATTCCTTTTAGAAAAGCTGATGGCTACTCAGCATCAGCCAAAACTTATGTATAAATGCTATGCTATGCTAAGTGATGTGGAAATACCAAAAGACTGTGAAGTACTTTCTAAGGAGTTGTTAACATGTGCCCGAGGCTATGCTGCTGAGTTGCAAATTTAAGGGGGGTGTTTTCATCAGTATTCAAGTCATATTTGTCAGTGAGCAAGGATAACAGTAAATAAACCTAAAAAACCGTGAAAAGATGCTATAAATTTTAGAAATTCCACGTGCTGCATAATCTTTCATATTTTCATTACTTTCTTAGCTATGGTCTGAAGTCCAGCCCTCAGTTCACACACCTTCTTCACACAATGTTGTCATTTATGTGTATTGTTATCTTAAAGCTGGCCTGGAGCCTTAAGCATAACATTAGCATTCAACCCTAAATACCTGAACAACATCTTTGATACCACGTGCCTAATGATAGACATCTACATCCCTGAAGAACTGAAGCTGCAGGTTATGAGCCTTCTGGAATAGAAATTAATCATTACATTTTTTACAAGGAGCTATATGGATCTGTGACCAACTAAGTAAAAGTAACATTCGGGTATTCTTTAAATCAACCTCATATGAAGTCCATGTCGTCACCATGTAATTAATGCTATAAAGATGAAGCACATAGGCTAGCAGGTAGCACATTCATACTCTTCAAAAAGACACAGTGAAACTTGGCTTTCCAAATATAAAGGAACACCTTAATACGTGCCAAGCACAAGCTCAGAGGTGGAAGCATTTTCTGGCAGGTTTAATATGGCAGAATGAAGCAGCTAGCACTTGCTGGCCACCTTTCTGCCAAAGACTACTACCTCCACAGGTACGCTGGTGTAAACTGACATTGAGCAGACATACCCCAAGCAGTCATTCGAGAGAAGAGCCCCACAGCAGCTAGGAGCAGCCACTTCTGCAACTACCCCAAAGAAATCTGCCAACAAATACAAGTCAGCTGGGATTCCCCAAGAGGCTGAGCACTTGCAGCTTGAGCTGGCTGGAAATCTCTGTTCAAACATCAAGACTGCTAAGCATGAAGACAGTTGTGGAAGCATGAAAAAGACTTGCTCACCAAATTAATAAAAATTAAGTCAACTCTTTGCAGGGGGAAAGTAACAATCCATTAGTTCCATCCGCCTCTATGAGCTAAAAAATGGAACACTCCTGGAACACCAGGAACACAAGGAGTTTTTTCAGTCTACCTCAGATTTGGATATCTAGCCTCTGAAGTACTCGAGGCACCTAAAAAGAAATAAAAATCACTTCTGAAACTCTTGACTTCACATTTTTCACAGGAGTATCTGCAGACACGTTTGCTACTTCAAAGCCTAGGCCATTAGGTGGATATTTATGAGAAGCTAATGAATAAGAGATCTGTAATACATTAGCTACATCGTTTCAAGTCAGTATCAAACTTACAGTAAAAATCTCAGGATGTAAGCAGAGTTCAGTGCTGTAAGAAACTACAAAAGCAACCCTTACAGGGAAAGAAAGTGTCTTCTATGAACTAATGTAGCCAAAACCATGCAAACACGATTCTGGCTGCTTAAGCCTTTATTCATGTACATAACAGGTAATAGAGCTTTGGTGCACAAAACCACTTTATGGCCAATGCAGAATATTTATTTTTTCATCAGCATGAAATATTGATGTGATACATATAGGTTAATTTATTTAAAAAAAAAAATCCAAACAGGTGAAGAAAAAACCCCACTGTTTTCATATGGATAATTTGCTTTTTACTGGGCATATGGCAATGATTAAAGAAAAACACAACTCTATGAAGCCACGCACTAGACAAGGGGAAAGCCCAACACTGTACAGTGCACAACTGAAAAATTACAGAAACCTCTTACAGTAATGCCAACATAGTTGTGCACTGCCTTCAATACTCCTTAAGCAGAATGGCTACACAAGCCAACTCAGGACAGGTTCTTGTGAAATTTCAGCACCCTTTCATCCTGAAATGCCCACACCTGTGTGCATGAAAACTTTTGTAACTCAGTAGTACAATGGTGATTCTGCATTTGAGAATCTAAAGCTTTACCTTTCCCTCAGCTCTGTTCTCCCAGACCCCAAAGGAAAATTCCACAGGGCTTCCTCATACCTGTTTTACAGGTCTATTGGCCAAGAACACACCAGGAGCATTGCTATTTCTATATACTATATTCACATGCTGTGCAAGGCAGTCCTGTCTTACCCATCTGTTCTGATGCTTTATGAAGTAAGTTAAAGGGACATTACATTTATGAATGTAAGAGGGATAAACCAGCACTCATTTCAGGAGTTTCTGCCAGTTATATGTAAATGTTTTTGCCTTGCGGAACTGAAGAACTGATGGCATACTTACTATTTATATAGTAATATATATTTATATAGTTATGGTATTGGAAGGAAAGAAAAATTCAATTTAGTCAAAGCTATACGGGAGCCGTGAATGAGATAGTATGTGGTTCACATTAAAGCTTGCTGCCCACTTTAATTAGACATCCAACTTTGCCTCAAGGTACAACTATGAGATGATCTTCCAAGCTTGTAAAGCACCTCAGCAATATCTGGAGTCGAATGGCACAAAACTATGGGAAAATGCCCCATTAATTACTGTGTAAGGGGTGAGGTTAAAACTGATCCTCAAGGGAATACTGACTGTGGACAGGAAGTGTCTTCCCAACACGTCTGTAAAGAGAGGAAATCAAGAATCAGACCTGCATAGCCTCTGTTTCAGGAGGGTATTACAGCAGGCGCCATCCCTTCTAACACGTATGATGGATCCTAAGCAAAACTAAAGGTATGTCCTGCCCTCTCGGTACCTTAAGGCACACACGCGGTGTCCCAAGAGCTATCACCTGGCCAAATCCCACACAGCAGCCACGTTTAGTAGTGCCGTCGGAGTAAAGAGAGCGGGAGCTGTCCCCCAGCCGCTCACCAACCACAAGCGGTGAGAAAGGGGCGACAGCGCAATGGAGGGGCTCCCCCGCCTCCTTCTCTGCACACCCGCAGCTCCCGCGGCATTCCCAGGCCCGCCCGCCCGCCTGTCTCCCCCCTCCCTGCCTTCCCTAAGGATCAGCGTGGACTTCGCCTCACGACTCCGCCGCCATACACTTGCCCGGCTGTCACCATGGCAACGCCCCTGCCCGTCCCCTCAGTGGCTTCAGCCGTGCTACCGCGCATGCGCCAATCCTACGCATGCCCTGAAGAGACCCGCGGCTGGGTGGGGAGGGGTGTGTATACGCATGCGCAGTTCGCCCGGAGGTGCCCACTCTGGGTCTGGGCAGGGCAACGTGTGGCGTCCGCTGCGGCTCCCCCTGCCCACTCGCCCGCCGCGGCCTGCGCGCAGCTCTCTGCCGGGGCGGGGCCAGCTCCTGCGGGCGCCCCAGCGCAGCCCCCGCCGGGCCCGTCCGAGCCGACGGCATTTCCGGGGGAGGGAGCGGGGCGCGGGCTGGCGGGGAGCGGCGCGGCGCGGCGCGAGCAGAGTTGACTATATATGGTCAAAGACAGGGGAGAGCGGCGGGCTGTGCGGGCGCTTCCTGGTTTGTGCCGCTGGGCGCCGCGGGGCTGAGGCGGCGGCGGCGGGAGCAGAGCGAGAGGCCGGTCCGCTTGTGCCGCGCCGGGCTGCGCTCGCCGCCCTTACCAGCCCTTCGAGCTCCACCGCAGTAACAAGTGGGCGAAGATGCCGTACGAGATCAGTAAGCCCGCGGGGGGGACCGGAGCGGTGAGGGGATGGGGACGGGGACTAGGGCCGGGTGGCGGCGATGGGGAGCCCCGCTGGCGGCGGGAGCGCAGGGCCGCCCGCCGCCGCCCTGGAGGCGGGTGCGGAGCCGGCAGTTCCTCACAGCCCCGCTGACAGCAACAAGTGACCGCGCCTGCCGGCAGGGCGTATAGCTGGGCGGCTGGCGTCCGGTACGGCTAAGAGTAAGCCCTCTTTTTCCTTTTTATTTTTATTTATTTATTCCCTCTTTTTCTTCCTGTTCCCATAGAAAAAGTGTTCGCCAGCCTCCCGCAGGTAGAGCGAGGCGTTTCCAAAATTATCGGAGGTGATCCTAAGGGCAACAATTTTCTTTATACCAATGGAAAGTGTGTCGTCATCAGAAACGTTGATGTAATGTATCTTGATTTATTTCGTTTCGTACTGTAGAGCTTTTGCTAAGTTTCATTTTGTGTCCCAGCCCCTGTCCTGTGATAGCCCGTGTTTCATTCTCAGTTTGTAATTCCCATTGAGGTCACGGATCTGTGATCCTCAGCAGGGGAACAAGCAGAGTGCATGACTCAGGCAGAAAACCACGGGCAGCGACTGCAGAAACCTGTAGTACAACGTGCAGTTCTCTCTCTTTGCATAGGAATTAAGACGAGAGACTGGTGTATTCAGGTTAGCCTTGTTCATCTCCTCAAATACTGCTGTTAGGAAGTTGAGTGCTGTGTTTGCCTAATAAATGAACACTTCCCCATTTGCTGTATCGAGCTTGTAAGAGAAACATGCAAATACTTGCAGACCCCATCTTTAAATATGCTAGTCCATAGCTTCTTCCTCCACCCTTGCACTCCAGAAAACAAAACGGTTGTCAGTTGTTTTCAAGCTGCATGCATGTTGAGTTCTTAGCCCTGGTCACAGGGAACTTTCCTCATCGATTAGCTATAAGAATGCCCCAGTTAATGTTTTCAGTGGTGTGAGGGTTTGCTTTTTTTTCTTCTATGGTGGTAACTAGAGAAATGCTAAGTGAGTTATTTAAGTGACTTCAAAGATGGCATCCTTTTGAAAAGTATGGAGAAAACATTGCATGTCTAGGCTGTTGTCTTGCTACTGCATCTCAAAAAATACTTTTCTTCAAAGTAAATGCTTGTTCTTTAGAAAATCAGATTCTCCCCCAGATTTACTTTCCTCTCTTACTGCAGATTTGGCCTGCAATGAGGAGGGCTGCAGGGGACTAGCTCATACCTCTCTGGAATTTTTAGGTCTCTGCAAAAATGGATTTGTTTATGGCTGCATCTGTGAATCACCTTTGTAAACTTATTTTTTTATGAGCTGTTTTCCTGATTAATCTCATTACTCCCATTATATTCAGATGATCTATTCATTGTCATGCTGTAATACAGAAATGCTATTAGTAACTTACTTATTTTTCCAAATTTCTTTTTTGGTATCAGTTTAAATTCATCCACTTAAAACCAAAACTATGCTTGCACTCTGTTTTCAGTGTGTAAGTGTAATGTTGTAAGAGTGCTTCGCTCTTAGTAGCAAGCAAATTTCAATTTTCTGAAACAAGAAGTCCCAGTGAAACACTGTAATGGCACACAAAGTGATGAGAGAAGGGAGAAAAGCCACTTTGCTTACGTTACAGTTTTTGCCCAAGTTATGGATTGTGACTTCTCCTTTGCATTGTCATTAGTGCTTATATGTCCCTACTTTAGGGGTTAAATTAGAAGTAAACAATTCACTTTTATCTTCCTGAATCGGCTCACTGAAGATTTGCCTGATGCAAATGTCAGTCCTAGTGTGAGCCAGAGCTCTGAGCACATGGCACAGTCTGAGTATAAGCGAGGTGGGGTTGTGGGAATTCAGATTTAGACTGTTTAAACTCTCAAGGGAAGTTGAGAACGAAAGTCATAAATCTCTGGGTTTTATGGTGTAATCCATGCCAATAGGCAAGCTGACCTAACTAGCAAGGAGAGTCTGCTACTGTTAATAATTGACAGGTGATGCTCTGCAGACAATTACAGAATGTATTGTAGCAGTGACACAAAAACTGACCAGAGCCTGTGTTGTAGCTTTTGTGTTAGAGAATGTTGTGATTTGTTCATAACTCAGCATGGAACTGTGTCCGCTTGTAGTTGCGAGCCATGCTTTCTCTGAATAATATAGAAGCCCCTATCATAGTTTGTAACAACCAAATGAAATATTGGGTGGTCTGTGTGTAATCCCTCCCTGAACAGTACTCTTAATGAGATCGTTGTGCCCTAATAAAAACAAAAAAGCAAAACAAAACAGGTCATCAAAATGCAGTGATCACTTTTCCCTTAAGTCTGAAGCTATCTAGTGTTAGCTAATCAGTGTTGATGGGTATAGCATTCAGGGTTAATGCTTGGTTTTTGAGCATGATGTAGAGGTTTCATTTAACAAGAGAAACTCCAGGAACAGTGCTGGAAAAGCACTGTGAGAAGGACTAGTGATAATTGTAAGGTTTCATTCCTTATTAATATTTTACAGTTTTCGTGGGTCTAAGCCTACTTCGAAACTTGGAACTTAAACTGCTCACTTTCATACGTGGCTCTGGTTTCAGTGTTCAAAACAAGCCACATAAGCTTGCTTTTGTTGAATCCAGAATTAGGTACTGTATTTTTCCCAGCTACCACTATAATCTTACCCAAAAATCTTTCTTTTCTTTTCCTTTTTTTTTTTTTTTTTAGATTATTCCTGAATCTGTTTACCATATCTTAAATTTGGGAGTCTGTCTTCCATTTAACCCCTCAAGTCAGTCTAGGACCAGTCTCTCATCTTACTAGCTTCCTGGACTCTTGAAGGTTCTTGCTGTAAAATAGCAGCTACTTACATATGCCATTAATAATGAATGGATGGGTGGGGTGTTTGAGCTCCCTGTACTTGTAGGTGATGCAGCTATAGAATGGGGAGAACATGATCATGTCTTGCTTAGATAAAATCCAGTTACACACAAAATGGAGAGCTGTACATGCTATAAATGCAGATGATTGTGGCTTAAGTAGGGCTATAATACACTCAAGCAGTTTATAAAAGCAGGAATGGAAAAGAACTGCTTCTTGCATGAGTAAGCTGTATTCTGTTTCCTGAGATGTAACAGTACTGCATCAGCAGGAACTCCAGCAAGCAGGAGATTGTCTGCTTTCTAACACAGAGCAGGTGTTTTAGTTTTTCCTAATTGAATGGCTGAGTTGTACCATAATATCAGGTGGTTTTCTGGTTTGGTTGAATAAATCTACATTAATCATAGCAATTAAAATGGACTTTTGGTTTGACCATATGAGTCAAATTTCTAGAGCTTGAAGATACCTGTTACCTTGCAGAATTTTATATTTTCTAAGGAGTGTATTACTGTTGTAGTATATTACTGCTGTATGTACTATATTTGGAAGGGGTGCAGAATGTCTTTTTACACAGTTCATTTGAGAACAGATTTTGCCCCGATGTCATCCTTTTCTGATTTGTGTGGCATTTCCATAGTTTAACACTTAATGAACTGTTAAGACACTGAGTCAGTTTTACTGTCAAACCTGAAGCACCTGAAAACATATTCTAAGACTAAAGAGAAAATCATGATGGGATGGCATTGAGGTTCTAGGGAAAATATCTTTCCCTGTGCTATTCTAGTAGCTTTTTAAACAGATTGCAATCAGTAAAAAAGAGCAAGCATTGTACACCTCATCGGTTACTGAGTGCTCTTGAGTACATGGTGATGATTAACAGCCACGCACTATGGTTAACCATATGCTTAATTTTCATACTTGACTTTAGTAGGATTGTTGGGTGTGTGCTGCAGAGCACAGCTTGTTTAGTATTCTCCTTGGATAGCTGACTTACCTGGGCCAGCCCCATAAAAAGAAACCTGATGCCTGGCCTAATGTTTTCAAGGTTTTTCTACCTTTCAGGAGGTATTGGAGAGGAAACAGTCACAACAGTTATGGCTGTTAGAGGAAACACTTTGTCAGTTGTTAGAAATTAATGTTGCTTTGAACAGCAGTATTCTAGTGTGTACTGCACTTACTATGTACTTCACTAAAGTATTCTACTGTGTACTGCAATTTGTGCTGCACTTTACAGTTTTAGGCAATAGCTCTATTTGAGAGGAGGAGTGTGAGCAGAAGTCCTAAGTTTTATCTTTGAATATCTGATTTTATGCCTTTGAAAACCAGGAAATACAACTTGCTAACTTTATTTGTTCTTTAAACTAGAATCCTGCAATTGCTGACATCTACACTGAGCATGCCCATCAGGTTGTAGTTGCCAAGTATGCTCCCAGTGGATTCTACATAGCATCTGGAGGTAAAGTATCAGCACACATGCTGCATGGGGTATGTGGACGGAGCTGTTGAAGTGCTTGATGGCAAAACAGAGTCGTAATGCTTCACATTTATATACAGAAGATGCACAATTAATGTAACATGGTTCAATGGAATTACATATATGTGCCTGAGGAAGGAATGATTTGTGTAGTTGTTCCTCTAACCTCTTTCCAAAGTAGTGAGTTTACTGACATGCTTGGTCTTAAAAAAATATTTAAATCAAAAAGAACATGGAAATGAACTTTAAATACTTGGTGTGAAGCATTAACAAGAACAAATCTTAGTGTAATGAAGACTTGTGTATGTGCAGCAGAATGGAAACTTATTTCTGAAATACAGGACTGTTGTCTTTGTTAATAAACTTTGATTCATTGGTGGTAGGGGAGGGATTCTCGAAGAGCACATACCCCTTTCTTTTCCTTTTTCTTTTCTTCCTGACTAAACTTGGCAAGACTTGTCATGACTTTTCTCATGTTTGTAACCTGAACTAAAAAAGCTTGCTTTGGTAACTTAACGGGAAGAGGCTGATTCATGGTTTCTGTGTAATGTATGTGAATCAGTAATCTGAGAATTGGTAGCATGAATTTCTGCAGCATAAATTTCCTGGATTGTTAGTGGAAATTGCTGCAGTTTTGATGACTTACAAAGAACTAACCCTTTCTCTCCTCTTTTTAATAGAAGCTTGCTTCAAAAAAACCTTTTTTTCAAGAGGACTGGTATACAGTTGAGGAATATTGATAAATATACTATGACTTCAATTTCTTAAAAATATTTGCAGTTAATCAATGGATATTTTAACATCTGCTTGCCATTGTACATTAAAAATGCTTCAGAAACAAGTAATGTGCCCAAATACAGAAATGCTTTCTAAGTAATATATCTGAAAAGAAAACACTTTGAGTATGAGCTCCTTAGAAAGGGAGTCCAGACTTAGATGCACAGGTCTTAACAGAATTAGTAGAATTGGAGTTTCTCTTTCAGCAATTTTAAAGGTACAGTATTTTTTAAAATGTAAAGTTGGCTTTTCGCGCATCAGAAAGATGTATCTTTTGAGTAGTGGAGAAGAACAGTAATGGTACCACTTTTTGGGTTTTCATTCTTTACACCTGTCCTGATCTGAAAGGAGCCAGAGCCAGGAATTCCTTGGCTCAGTCTTGTGTGTGACCATGTGTTAAATTGAATACCTTCTTAAAATCCAGTTTGCATTCTTTATTTTACAGCTCTAGGTTTGTGCTGTACTTATCTCTCAGAATGACCATGTGTTCTGTTCTTGCACCCTTGTAGATTTTCAGTCATCTATAAAAGAAGAGTTTTATACACATAATCTGATCTGGGAAGTTTTTTAGTAATTATCAGCTTAATGAAGCCTTGCTCTTCAGGGAATATTCAGTTGACTTTTTTCAAACATTGTGTCATACCCAAGTAAATGAGTTTAGGCTGCAGTATTTCCCTTAAAAAGTGCCTTCTGCATGTCATTTATAAATAGTTCTGTGATACTGCTGAGCATGGGGTCTGAAGATAGTATCAGGCTGTTTAAGCTGTTTCTAAGTATAACATGTAAGATTCATTTCTCTGTCTATAAATCTGCATTAGCCATGCAACCTGCATTAATACTTCATGTGCTTGATGAGACAGACCTTTGGCAATATACTTTGTGGCTTTTATGGTAATTTCTCTTACTGCAGTCATAACAGATGTAGTAATGGGACATATAAAGTTAAAGCTGTATGTGTACTATCTATTAATAGATGGAGCAATCAATTAAATTCTTAACTCTACATTAGAATTCTGCTTCAATAACACATTTTGCGAAATGGAGGATTCTTCATCTGCCCTCTTAGCAGAAGGGTGGTGGGTCCATGATCAGGTCCTACAGAGGCAGTGTTGCTGTATGCTTAAATTGAACTGTGAAGATGCACCAATAAATGATGAACAGAACTCAAAAGTGTTATGCTAAGATGACATATACATATTTTAGCACATGGTTTATTCTAAAACAGTGGCTTTAATAAAGGGTTCAGTACACACAGAATTTGCTGTGTGGGTATAGAACAGTTCCTCTGGTGGTTTTTGAATCTGGTAATGCTGCACCACAGTAATTGCTCTGAATACAAGGAAGCTCTAGGGCTACGCAAAGACATTTTCATTATATTAAGCCATAAGTTGTTATGACCTGTGCTGTCTGCCACGTGTGGCATTACCATGTTTGAATGTACTGTTGGATTCCTTTGCAGTAATCCAGATAGTGCAGGTATTCGTGCACAACATGAAGTGTGTACATGCTTCTGTATAGAAAAACCCATTTGGATGCAAAATGGGTTTGCTTTGAAGATATAAAAAAAATCTGAAGTATTAATATCAGTGCATCAGACACTATCCATCAGACTGCTCTGTAGATGCTGGGTGGCTTACTTCCTAATGAGTGTGGGTAAGCTGTCTTGGTGAGGAGAGAGTAGTATGATTGTTGGTTTTGTTTGGTTTTAGTTTTGGGGGGGGGGGTTTCTGGATTTTGTTTTAGGGTTGTTTCTTTTTGTGTGTGTTTGTAGCATGGATAATTGACACATACTGGCTGTACATTAGAGTTCCTGTCCTCTTGCTGTGCAGGTTTTTTTGGGTGTCTGCAAAAGTTGCCTCCATGTTGTATATATTGCTGCATGTCTTGAACATTATTATCTGGCTATAAACATCATTCAGTGAAATGGATGTAGTCATCAGTGTTCTTCAGTCAAGTAATTTGTAGTAGTTGTAATAGGTTAAGAAAAGAGGTTCCCTAGTACAAGTGTTCAGTGTAGCTGAAAATCTGTATCCTGGCAGATCGTTGAGTCATGTGACTGAGTCATGCTGGAACAACAATAGTTATATTCTGTTTTATTATGGCAGATGTCTCTGGAAAGCTGAGAATCTGGGATACTACACAGAAAGAACACTTACTGAAGTATGAGTATCAGCCGTTTGCAGGAAAAATAAAGGACCTTGCCTGGACTGAAGACAGCAAGAGAATTGCTGTGGTTGGAGAAGGAAGGGAAAAGTGAGTAATTCTTCTGTGTGTGTGTGTGTGTGTGTGTGTGTGTGTGTGTGTATACCTATATGGTAAACCTCTGTTTTCTAACAAAGCAGGTTCTTTGCAGAAAGCTTTTTACTCTTCAAGGGGAGAAAACTGTGGCTTGTTCCCTATTTCAGCTTCAAGTTGTTCTGCAGGAGAATTCTTTATGCAGTCTTTGACAGCTGTAAAACTGTTTAGAGAGTACAGTTCTATAAGAATTTCTCAGTTTAAAAATTGTGGGGTCTTGTTTGTTTTTTAGAGTTGAATATTATGTTCAGTTATAGCTGTTAGTATGCCTTTGGTATAAGAAGGTATTCTAATTCTGGTAGAGTGGGAAGGGAGAACCACCAGACAGTTCTCCTCCTCCTCTTACACCTTACAGATTGAGAGGATATGGCTGAATAAGAGTAAGAAAATAAAGGAAAAAAAGTGTATCTGAATTTTCTCCCTTAGCAACACACCCATATTTTTAGGCTTTATTATGGTAATAAATAAAATCACAACCAGTTGTCCTAATCTGACTGAGGTGCTCATTAGTCAGGTTTGTGTCCTTTCTTTAATGTTTAAAGACAGACGGATCTTTAAGGCAGAGTAGTGTTATGCCTGAAAGTCTGAAAAACATAGTGTGGTCCTGTTCCCTGACCTCTAGTACCGTTTTTTAATTGCCATCATGTACTGTGTCTTTTTGACAAATCTCTCAAACAGTCTTTCTGTTTGAGAGAGATTTTTGTCCTGTTTTGCTCCCTCCACCCCCACCTGCCCCGGGTAGATACTCTGTAAACTTGTTCTCCTACCTCAGACTCTACAAGTTTTCTGTTAGGTGGATGAACTTTCAGTCTAGAATTTTGCTGAAGTGATTCTGTAGCTTCTCTTTATAATAGTGGTGCTCTGGTAGTTCAGTGCCACTGTATTGATTATACTATTTCAGGGTTTTTTTTTCCCTCAAGGAGATTTAAAGGTAGAACTGACAAATACTGTTGTAACTCTTCTTCCTTAAACCTTTAAGTAATAATAATTGTAAAAGCGATGCACCCAATTTAGGCCAAGTAATCAATTAATGATCTAATGTCATTGTTATCCTGGCTTTCCACATTTGGTGTAGTGACTAGGCAGGCAGAATAATTATTGCTTCCTATAAACTGACTGAAGAATATCTTTTTGATCTCTGAGTTTTGGAAGCTTTATACATAAAATTTGCTTGTCAGTCCCCTTCAGCAAATGTCTCCTATTGAAGATTAGATTCTTTTTCCAGCAAGGTCCCAAGTAGCCTTCAGGGAACTATGAGGAGCTTGCATGAGATTAACGAGATGACCTATTTTCTTTGAGTGCACGCAGATCTGCTGTTTGCAGATTCTCATGAAGTTAATCTACGTGTAACTTTTATGAATTGTAGTTATTGTGTGCTTCTCTAACTAGATTCGGAGCAGTGTTCCTGTGGGATAGTGGTTCTTCTGTTGGCGAGATTACTGGGCACAACAAAGTGATCAATAGTGTGGACATTAAACAAACGAGACCATATCGTCTGGCAACTGGCAGTGATGACAACTGTGCCGCTTTCTTTGAGGGACCGCCATTCAAGTTCAAGTTTACAATAAGTGTGAGTTTAAGTTGAGCTGTAGCTCTGATAAACTGTGCAGAAAGTTGACTGAAAGCTCTCCAACAAGCCTGCAGTTCTTGTCACAGCTAGCTGTCATTACAGAAGTTCTTAGTTCCTCCTTTTGAGGCATAGTTGGTGTCAAGTGGCCTTCTTAAGCCTGTGTATAACTGGAGGCTTGCCTTAGTTCAAGAGAACTGAAATAAATGAAAAAAAAAATAGAAAACCTGAAGCACTTTTTCCAGTTTTCTTTTTTGGCTCTTCATCCTCTTCCATAACTGTAGAAGCAGGCTGTTACATCGGCCCTATTGTTGCTTTCTGAGCATTGCTTCCCAGTGCAGTTGTGTAGAATTTAATAATCTCCAAGGTGCCTGATTCAAGAAATTTGGTGGTGTGAATGGAATTTTCCAATCTACTTAAAAGTGCTCAAATCTGAAATCCCATGGCAGCTTAGAAAAGGGTGAGTCTAAATATTTGGAAACATAACTGATTTCTACGAGAACTGCATCTATAACTTCTGTGGTCAGTTTTTGTTCCTGCGTTTCTTTTAACTTTTGTTTCCTATTCTGTGAGTTACAATCTTTTAAATAAAACAAACAAAGCTTGGAATTGCCACACTGAAGACATTCATCATTACTGGAGGCCAAAGAAGATGAAAAGCCTAAAGCTACTGCAGCTGTTTCTGATGGCAGAAGGCATGCTTCATGCCTTAAAAAAAAAAAAAAAACAAAAAAAAACCGAAAAACCCCCTGAAACAAATGATTGCAAAGATACTGGATGTTACTGCAGTAATGAAGTAAACATATTTAGTTCTTGTTTTATTTTTAAAATAACAGTTGTAGGCATTTTATTTTCTTAAATATGTTCCTTGAATACTCTTCATACACTGACTTTTAGAAAGGATTCCATTGTGGTTCTAGAAAAGGAATTGTTTTGAGCTGTGCAATCCAATGGAATGATGTAGTTGCCTAATATGTTTCTGAACTTAAGTTGATACTTGCATTTTGCTAAGCTGACTCTTTTTGAACTCTCAAGTCTGAATTGCTTACCAGTGCTGCTTACACTTGTATGTGATACAGTTTTTCTTTTAAAATGATATTTGAGTTGATATATCTGAATTGGGCACAGGCTGTTGTATGGTTTAGGCCTTGAGGTATAATCAGGAAACAGCATAGTTAAAGAAAGTGGGTTAGAACCTGCCTTTCATAATACTAAAAATAGTCTTCCAAATCTCTTTGTGTTGGCCTCATTGTGGTGCTTCCCTATTTAATATCTGTTTCCTAGTTAGCATGGTTTGAATAGTCTCCTACTTGTAAATAGTCTATTTGGGGAGCATACATCAGTCTTGCCTGGCTACTTCACAGAGCTACCATTAGTGCAGTCTCCCAGAAATGAGATTCCAGTAAAATAATTATCTGTTCTTCATGCCTATGTTTTTTACAATAAGAAGGATGAGGTATTGTTCTCTGTGTAAAACTTCCTTGTATGATGAAGCAAGAGTTAAAATCTGGACAGTGTTGCAGAAGAAGCCAGTGACCACAGGGAAGAATCTCATAGTTGCATCTAGCCTGCAGCTGTAGGTTTTATTTCTTGCCTGTCCCTGAAACTGGGTACTCTTTCATGTGGCATTGTATTAAGTTGTTTGAGCTACACTGGCTACTGATGCCACAGTTCCCTTTCTGGACTATTCTCAACCCCCATCATCCTCTTCAGGTAGAGGCTAGACTTGCTCTGTAGCCATTCTCTACAGCAGGCATCTTCCTACACAGCTAATTTATGGCTTGCATGTAAGAGAACTTCATTGATACTGGATTGTCTTCTATGTAAAAAGGGTCTGTTCTTATCTTGTGTTCTGATTCTTACTTTTTTTTCCCTACAGGACCATACACGGTTTGTAAACTGTGTGAGATTTTCTCCTGATGGGAACAGATTAGCTACAGCTAGTGCAGATGGCCAGGTAAAAATAAAGAAATTATTTTTCTAAGATTTTAGCACAAGAAGACTTTCTTGTGTATTTTGGGGATAGCATTAGTATTGTAAAATACATGTTGCTTTTTTCATGCCAAGAAATGAGTGGCTTAACCTTTTAAATATCCTGCTATAAGGCTATAACAACTGATAACCAGACTGTTCTCACTCAGCTTTTTTTCCCTATACCATCTCCCTAGCATATTATTTCTACAGATTATTTTAGCAGAATCATATTAAACTTTTGGGATATGTATGTCCTTATGATTGTGAGGAGTGTGGTCGAAATACTGAACTAATAGCCCAGTGTGGACTTTCCAACCCTAACCATTCTGTGATTCTATGACTCCCTACTGATAAGGCAGGTTTGACAATGACACTGTAGGTAGCTGCCCCTCCTACGAGGGCACATTCCGATGACTTTAGTGCTAAGCAGCCACTATCATGGCAGGAGCCAAAAATGTAACATCTTCCAGAATTTCAAATGTCAGGATCCAATGTACGGAGTATCTTGCTGTGATTATTTACAGTTGTAATCTCATTCGTTTAGTCTTAAATACAGGAATACTTGTTCCTGTTCCTTAAAAATCTAGTCTTTGATAAACCTGTAAGCATGCCACCTTACAGAAGGATGATTTCTGTAGTGCAAGTAATAGTATTTCAGTTCTTTGTTTGTTTTTGTTTTGTTTTGTTTTTTCCTTGTTACTGCTTTTCCTTTTAAGTTATGTGTCTGTGTGCTCTCTTAAGATTTTTGTCTACGATGGGAAGACTGGAGAGAAAGTGTGTGCTCTTGGTGGAGGCAAAGCTCATGATGGAGGTATTTATGCTGTAAGTATCACTTCATTTGTGCAAATGGTCCATAGTATTTCATTATCAAGTTCATGGACCGTGAAGTTTGGCAATCAAAAATGCATTTACTATCTTGTGACATTTGTTTTCGCAGATTAGTTGGAGCCCTGACAGTAGTCAGTTGCTTTCTGCTTCTGGAGATAAAACTGCTAAAATCTGGGATGTTGGTGCTAATTCTATTGTCAGTACTTTTAACATGGGATCAAATGTGTTGGATCAGCAGTTGGGTTGCTTGTGGCAGAAAGACCACTTACTGACTATCTCCCTGTCCGGCTATATTAATTATTTGGACAAGAACAATCCAAATAAGCCTTTACGCGTCATAAAGGTAGGTTAAACTTCTTGTTGCACCCATTTCTGCAATAAGTGACTCAGTGGTTGAAGCTATCCAGATGGAGCAGTAACTATTGAAAAATGGTTTTGTTAAGTTAGTATTACCAGACAAGCCCTGTGTGTCTGATTCTTGCAAGTGACGCGAATCAAGAAGTTAAAATGTTACATGCATAATGCTGTGCTTTGTGCAAACATAGAGACTGATTTTGTTTTCAGTTAAGGTTATCAACTTATTTTTCATAGCAGCTTTTAATCATTCTTGAGATGCAAAAAAAATAGAGCATAGATAGAAAACTACTGGTGGCGTCTCATTCTGTCAGAGCTAGTGTGTTATGAACAAGGTGACCAGGGTTACTGTGCAATTGAGCTTTAATTTTAGAATTTAAAGAGTTCTCTGACACAGCACTCTCCTGGGAACTTACATTTTTACATGAACTAGAAATGGACGTCCCAAATTCTTGCTATTGGTGCTACAATTCAGGCAGTTGATGTGGGTACATGACCATATTTAGTCCTTTTCCATGAATCATAAAGTGCCTGAAAAATCAAACTTCGTCAATGAAAAGGCCATGAAAGTGTTCTGGCCCAGCAGGCTAATAAGAATATTCATAGCGCCCATTCATTCTCTTTAAAGAGTAGTACCTGGGTATAGCAGTGCTGCAACTGCTAAGTGACTGTGCTGTCAAGTAGTGATTTGTATTCTGGGTGACTTTTAATGGTTATGAAAAGAATGTTATTTTGTAATTACCTACAGATCTTCTGAAATAGGTTTAATCTATGTATGTGTTAAGATGAAAATTTGCTCGTCCATAATTATTTGTGTTCTGTTCACAGGGTCATAGTAAATCAATTCAGTGTCTTACAGTGCATAAAAATGGTGGAAAGTCCTATATTTACTCTGGAAGTAATGATGGTCATATTAATATCCTTTGAATGATAGTGGTATTTGCTGTAGCCTTATAGTCTGAGAACTAGTTTGGAGGAAAAAAGAGTTCTTTGCCAAAGGCAAAAACTTAACGTTTATTTTACACAGGTGAATAGAAGTTAATTTTACTTTCCCTTAACTTGCCTGTTGTACTGTTTGCCTTTACACTTGCCTGCTAAATATAAACCAGTTCTTAATTTCCAGTTGTCAGTACTTTGTGGTGTAAATTGTTAGTATGGAGGAGCAAGTAAATGTATAAATTAGCTTCCTGTAACTTTTCATGTATTGTCATACACACAAAGTATGTATTGCTTTTTCTAAGTTACATGCCATAGATCTTCTGAAAGTCATGTATCTTGCTTTTCAGATGTTCAGGACAGAAAAACTTTCTGACCCATCTCTGACCTGTTACCATGCATTTCTCTTTACAGTTACGTTTTTTTTTTCTCCTGTATTTAGGTGTGGTTTTGAAGTTCTGTGACATACTGTGTTCTTTATTTGATTTCCCAAATGTCATGAGGCTTTTTCACTGATGACTTTTTTACTGAAGAGAACTTGTACTACTTTTGACACTTTATTTAACTCCTGTTGGTTTCTGGAGCAAAACACTGGGAATGCAGCCTGGTTTGCAAAGGGCACGTTAAAGGGCGAGGCTGGGATATGTTCAGCTAGAAGACTGTTGGCTTTTCTTCAGTGTTCTGAAGCTTATAAGTAAAACTGCAGTCTTTCATCCTGCCTGCTGTGGTGCATTAAAATGCTGTCACATTGGCATAAGTGGTAGTAAATACAGGACTTGTTTCTTTACAAACTTGCAATATAGTGTTAGTAGTTCAAGCTGATGTTAACATACAACATCAGGGAAAGCCAGTGTTGCCAGTTCTAACTATGATTCTTTAAAAAGTATTTCCTGTTCTCAGACCTGATGTTAACTGCTCCAGTATTTGCTACTGTCTGTGGCAGGTCATTTAGCTCATTACAGAACAGCAAAGGTTCATTTAATAAATATTTTGAGAGTATGAGACTGACTGAACCCTGTATTGTCGAATCTCCATCCTTAGAGATACTCAATCCAGCAGAATGGGCAGCCTCTTGTAGCTGACACTGATTTGAGCAGCAGGTTGGACTAAGTGATCTCAAGAGATAACTTCTAAACTTAGCTACTTGATCAATTATTTATTTTACGATTCTGTATCTGACTGCACCAGTCTTTCCAAATGTTCCTTAATTCTATTATGCACATTATTGGGATTCTGAAACTGGAGAGAATGATGGCTTTTCTGGGAAAGGTCATACAAACCAGGTTTCTAGAATGGCAGTGGATGAAATGGATCAGCTGGTCACCTGCAGTATGGATGATACTGTGCGCTACACCAACCTTAGCAAGAGGGACTACAGGTTAGTTAAAATGTTGCCTTTATTGTAGCATTACAGCCCTAATTATTCTACAGCAAGAGTTTTGTTGATTTGTGTGGCAAAGAAATTTTTGCAACAGTTTATTCAGGTTTTATGTTACCATGGAAACTGTATAGAAATGATTGCTGTACCAACCTTGCTTTTTTCTGTGACAACAAGAAATGCATCCAGGCTTTTCAGTTTGTCTCATCCCTTCCACAGGTTAGGTAGAGATCAATCTTGTATCAGGTGGTTCAGTTAGGAGACTGTGGGAAGGGTGCCCACTTTCTGATTCATAAAGTAATAAATGTGGTTAGGGAGGGTGGGACATGGCTGTTTCTTCATAGAGGCTGCAGTTGAAGCAAAAAACTTTAAAGAAACCTGTGAAGGTCACCACTTAGTTTAAAGAAAAATAAATAAACTCCAGTGTAATAACATTTGACTTTCACTTAGGTGTACTACTTGATCAAGATACTGATGCTTTAAACAGTAAACGCAAGGAAGCTTTGCAGATTATTAAAAAATAAATCTTTAAATTATATGTGTTCTTGATCATTAGTATCATTTGTATTATCTGAATAGGCAATTCTGAGTAATGTTAGGCATGGTATAATTTCTTTTCTGCTTTGTTCTTCCTGCTTCTCCAATTTTGCACACCTTTCTCCAGTGGTCAGGATGCTGTGAAAATGGATGTTCAACCAAAATGTTTAGCTGTGGGTCCTGGTGGCTATACTGTAGTTCTGTGCATTGGACAAGTAAGTAGTAATTTGTGGGTTATTAACACAATTCCTCTGTTAATAGTGCTGTGTATGGTAACGTGATGGTTTCCAACAAATCCTTTTAGTGTGGGGTCAACTTGCACATCTGCAGAATTACCTAATGAGAGCTATGGGAAACATAATTCATTAGGATACTTGCTAGGCTTGTCTTTTTGCATCCTGTACCAATTTGACAGTCTTACGTATAGGTTTAAATCTCACATGGTCGATTGTGTGAATGCATCAGGATTTGTTGTCAGTACAGCTCTGTGCTAGAAGGCTTACAGCATCTGAATCATGCTCTTGCCTGATCTGTTCAGTGCTGTGATTTTGGGGAAAGCATATCTTGTTCCTGCATTATGTTGTTTTTGTAGCTAATCCAAGTAGCCAATTAACTACTGCTGTTGTACAGCGTAGGTAGCTCTGGGTTGCTTGCCAGTAGTGTTAAGATCTCACAAATCCAGAGACTTTGCACCGAGGTTATTTTGTATCAAAACATGCTTAACTTCAAATGTTTTATACCTTCTCTGTGGATGCTAGTTTTATGCTTGGAACTTTGAGTAGTGTTGTGCCAGCTTGTTTTCCATGTGAGTTATAATTCCCATTGTCCATAGTATAGACCTCGGTACAAAGTTAGAATTTAACACTGCAATATTAACTTTCTACTAATTTGGTCCTGCCTCCTTTCCTTAAGGAGCAAACTGGGAATGCAGTAAGCATTGCTAAAAATACTGTTTTGTCAGTGTTGTTCATGTTCAAACCAAATGAGGCAAAGCTGAAGCCAGTAGAGCATGCCCTGCGCTGCCTAATTTAGAGCACATAGGTACTCCAGTGCAGCAGATTAGTCAGTCACCTCATGAAGGCATTTATTTCTTCTTTTTTTTTTTAATTAAACTGTTCCCTTAAGATCAGAATGTAGTAAGAGTTGTGAGCAATGTATTGTATTTATGACTAAACTTTGTGGCTTAGTCATAGTTTTGTATTGGGCACTTTGAAGAAGAGTCTTAGTTTCTAGTTTTCTATTTGCAGATTGTCTTAATGAAAGATAAGAAGAAATGTTTTGCAATTGATGACCTTGGCTATGAGCCAGAAGCTGTAGCCATTCACCCTGGAGGAGGTACAGCAGCAGTGGGAGGAACGGTAAGGTTGCGCTTCCTAAACCTGTCCTGCTTTGAACTTGTAACTAGTAACAAATATTTAACGCTAGGGGATGCCTTTAGAAGTAGTATGTTGCAATTTGTAAGAGCATTCTTACAACAAGCAAGTGATGTGTAATTGGTATTTCTGGACTTTTAATTCCCCAGGTTCTACCATTATCACCTAACTTTCTATCTTGTATTTGCTGGTTTTAAATTGTCAAATTGTTTTTACTGAGTATATGCTTGAAGTAGGTAAATTCTAGAAACCAGGTCTGTGTTCTTGACTTGGTGGGTTGTAGCCAGCATAAGTAACAGGTTCTTTAAACTGGTTCTTAATACAAGCACTACCAGATAGAGCTGACGCAAAACATTCCTTAAGTTCAGTAAGCCTTCCTCTTTCTATTGTAAAGTGATTTTTGTACCTTTTCCCCTTCCTCACTATTAATTTGCAGGATGGGAATGTCCGTTTATACTCAATCCAAGGAACCTCTTTGAAAAATGATGAGAAGTCTTTGGAAGCTAAGGGTCCTGTTACTGACCTGGCATATTCTCATGATGGTGCCTTTCTTGCAGTCTGTGATGCAAACAAAGTTGTCACTGTCTTTAGTGTTGCTGATGGCTATGCGGTAAGAATTGTTTAAAAACAAATTGGCAACAAATTGACTGTCTAAACCTGTTGTGGTGAAATACAATATAGCGGCTGAGACTTCATTGTTAAATCACTGTTTTGGTGTTTCTATGACTGTTAAACTGGTATTTCTAGTTAGCGTTACTTTTTGTTCACAACAGCCTTTGTGAAGCTTCTGCATCATAAGAATAGGTGAGGAAATGTACAGCATGGGTTGGCTACTGGGAAAGCACTCAAACCCATCTAATAGCAAACACATTGCATAGGAGTTGGATCTCCACAGGCCAGTGGTAGTTAAATATAAAAGATTAGAAAATCATCAGTACAAAGTAATGCATGTGCCTTGTTCTGATTGTCTGAAGTACTAGTGTGGTGGGGTGCTTCTTTTGTGTGGGGTTGGTGGTGGTTCGTTTGGGGTTTTCTGGTGGGAAGTTGTTTGTGTGGTGCTTTTCTGTTGGTTTGGGGTTTTTTTAAAGGGAAAAAAGTCAACAAAATATGTGCGTGCCTGTTAGAGCTGGTATGCATTTCTGGAAAATGGACAAGAATGTAGGCTCAGCTTGATAAGAATCATGCAATACAACAAAATTGAATTAAATAAAGCAGACTTGGCAATAAAAATTTGCTGGCTGTGGCACATGGTTTACTGTGGTAAGAAGTAAGCAAAGAAAGGGATACATTAGGGCAGGGAATCTTGATTTTCATCCCTCAGTTAAGTGTCTTAACCAAGAACCAAAGAATGAGCAATTTCCACTTTTCAGCTGAGTAGTCATTATGTGTATCAGCCTGTAAAATCATTAAGGTAACTGAAACCACACCAAACTAGAAAAATGCAGATGGCATTCCACAGAAATATTGCATTTTCTAAGTAAAAATTGAACGAATTTTGCTTTTAGAAATATCTGTGGGATTACTTTAAAAGTCTGTAAGCGAAAAGTAACTTACTGCATATGCACTTTACAGATCCAGCTTTCATCAAAAAAGTCTTAGCTCTTTTTACGGAAGGTTTGGATTTTACCAGCCTCATAAGTGTTTAGGTACATAGCATAAAATGAAGCCACCAATTGGTTTGTTTGGGGCATCCATCTGTACTGCGATGGATGTACATCAGACAATGTACATTGTCTGAACTATTGCAGTAGCTTATTGTAATGCTACAAATTAAAAGCCAGGGATTTCCTGAAGTAGCTTAAGCTAATGAAGTAACACTGTATCTTTAACTTTCAAATAGGAACATAATGTTTTTTATGGACACCATGCAAAAATTGTTTGTATTGCCTGGTCTCCTGACAATGAACACTTTGCTTCTGGAGGCATGGACATGATGGTATATGTTTGGACCGTAAGTGATCCAGAGACCAGAGTCAAGATACCAGGTATGTTTCCTTCAAAAGATTACTTTTGAGAGTTGCTAGTAGTTCTTGAAAACCAGCACAGCTTTCTGGAATTGAGCTTTGAATGTTCCCGAGCTAATTTAGCCTTTACATTAGTCTCTGTGTAGCCACAATACCCAAAACTCTTCTGTTGTTTTGTACTGACTTTTTAAAATATACTGTTACTATTTAATGCAGCTGAAAATCACATTTGGAATATGTGCTGAAGTTACTTTGTCAGCCTCGCGTTCCTAATTATCTTCTGTTATTTCACACTGCCATACAGATGCACACAGGCTACATCATGTAAGCGGCTTGGCATGGCTGGATGAACACACTCTGGTAACAACATCCCATGATGCTTCTGTCAAAGAGTGGTCTATCTCCTACAATTGAAATAATCCCTCTTTGGAAGGACCTAATCAGGGACTAGAACTACTGCAGTGGAACATAGCATTTCTCTTAAAGAATCTGTATTGGCCTCTGGGTCTGCTATCATATCCTCATATCTTTACAGGGTGTTCATATCTGTAATTAAATGTACTTTGAAAGCTTTAGCCAGTAACAGTTTGCACATGAAAAGCACTTAAATTATGTCTGGAGCTTAACCTTTGTGCTGAACATTCCAGAGGCAACAGCCAAGTGAGTTGGTGTGAAAGGTTCAGGTGTGAAAGATTCAAACTCAATCAGTTGCTCTTTTCTAACCAAGAAACATGAGACTGTACAGCATGAGAGTAATACTTCTCATTTTTTCTAATTACAGAACATTTCTGTACTAACGGTCATAGTAAGAGTATTTAGTTGTGATCCAAAACCAATCAAGCTGTGTGCAGCTACTGTATATTGCTTTGCTTCTCTGTACTGCACCAAACTGTTGCCTCAGATTTTCTCCTCTCAGATAACAAAATGGGGTACATACATAATAAACTTTTTATGTATTTCATGTCAAAGCTTTGTGGTTTATTTTAAGGTGGAAGTGTGGGGTTTTGATGTACTTACTGTTGTGGGTATAATGTTTACAAATAATCATTGTGGCAACTTCTTGCTTCAGAAACACATTTGTTACTTTCATGAATTAAGAATGTCTGGTCATTTCAATGTCGGAAAATCATTCTGTTTCGAAGATTAAAGATTTTCTGTTTGAAGGAGGAGAAGCATGTTATTGTTTAAAAAAAAATGCAGTACTTCTACCACTTTTTTGAAAATACAGGAATTAAAGTGAAGCATTGTTATGACTTGAAGTGATTTTTCTTAAATATGTTTGCTGAGTGAGTTTTATGCCTTTGCACATGAGGAACAGTTGCATGGAAGCTGTTATCTCATGCGAACAGGTTGTGACCTTGTTTAGTTTCCTTCTCCCACTCTACAACACACTTCAGTGATTTGAAGCCATCTGTCTAGCAAGGGTGGAGGAGGACACTGATACAAAGTGGTAGGAAGATTTGTTACCATCTCTGGTGGCCAGAAGAAGTTGTTGTCCAGAACGTTGGAAGACTTGGTAAAGAAAAGTTAGAGGGTTTGTTTTGTTTTGGGTTGGTTTTTTTTTAAGTCTTCACTTAAGTCTTTTTTAAGTCTGCTTCAGTGTTCTTTGATTTTTATTAAGCTTTCCTTTCTGTGTGGACTTGTGTGTTGTTTTGGGTTGTTGTTTTTTTTTTTACCAATCGTATTTCTAATGACACTAATTATACAGCAAATAAAAAGGCTTTTGCTGCTTCTCATACTGTGGACCGTTGCTCAATTGCTGGAAAAGAATTGCCTGTCATAAATTACTTAAAAAGATATTTCAAAAAGGAAAAATGCTGATCTTTTCAGAAGTGGTGACCAGATATCTTCTGGCATGCAAACCAATATACACGTTAGAACAGTTGATACGGGGTTTAGCTAAGCAGAATATTTTGCATCATGGTTTCTTTGTGCTTGCTGCATCTCTCCATTAGCAGTTTTGCATGTCTGTTTATTAAAAATGCAAGGATAAGATACATTTCAGAAAAGGGCATGTTTGAAATTGGGCATAAGATCCAAATGAACAAGACTTCTTGGTGTCTTGCCCCTAAACCTTGTTCTGCTGTTGCTTGTTGTGCCAGTCCCTGTGCAATTCATCCTTTGTTCCCCAAGTCCCATCTGGAAGAGCTGCTATTGAATCTGCTCAGTGGGTTCCTGTTGTAGTTGAATCCCTGTCAGTTAACTAATGCTAAAAGAAGGATGAAACAAAGTTGTGGATGGTTGTAGGCAAAGAACAGAATTTGCTTGGAAAATGCTGCTTTTTATAAGAGGTGGGCCTGCTAGTGAAATGTTGGGTTTTGAGGGAAATGACATAATTTCCTCAAGCCTCCTACCACTACAAGTATATTCTTTACTGTTCTTCAGAGCTTGTGCACCATGTTTGAAAGGTGATGTGTAGGATGAGGGTTTTTTTTTATACCTAAAAGGACCTTGTAATGTTGCAGCATGCCTTTTAGCTCAAAAGCCTGTGTTTGATTGCCTCCCTTTGGGGGTGGTTGCTCGTGCTTCAGCTTCCATGGGATTTGTTTATTGGCATACAGCCTAAGCTTCTAATTCCTTAAGGACTAATATGGTCTTTGTAGTTGGATAGCAAATCTTGACTACAAAACTGAAAGGTTATTCTACTCTTGGACCAAATGTCATAGCACAGGCTGATTGTTAATCAAGCACTGGCCCCTCACAAACTAAGTCAAGGGAGTCCAGCTGTAGCCCTGAATTGGCCCTCTACGTTACTTGTACTTGCCCCAGATTTAAGTGTCTTACTCCAAACTTGAAAATCATAAAATAGCCATGGGGCAGGAGCACATAGCTACAGCATGACACTTGCTTTCTAATCTTAGTTGCACAAACAACCCCGAAGTTGGGTTTTCTTTTGCTTAAAATGCCAGATGTATTATGTGGCAGAGTTGGTTTGTTGTTTTTTTTTTTTTCTAAAGGGGAAACAAATATTGAGCTCTTGGTTGGCTGTAAAAACCAAAGACCCTTCCCAGAGAGAATGTAGACTTTTCTATAGATAGCTGCATGGAAACAGCATTGCTGAGCTTAGGCTTTTCTCCTCAACAGCCCTGTTTGGTGTGAGAAAACTGTAGGCTGTCAGTCTCTGCAAAACAATGGGAATAGCTATTCACTGTTAGCGGACTTTATGTGTAGGAATGGAAGCCATTCTCTCAGTTGGACAAATTGTGATTGTTTCAGCCATCGTTTTTCTTTCTCATTCTCTGTAAGCCCTGTTCTGCCTGTGATGGAAGAGGATGTGGAGATGGCAGCTGCTCATGCAGCAAGTGATTGACCCCTTGGCCTGCTCTGTAACAGAGAAACAACAGGAGTGGAGTGGGGGAACTGTCATGAGATCCTGACTTCCATGAACCCCAAATTCTGTTCTTCAGCAGTACTGTATAGATCGTAGCAACCTCAGAAGGAAATACATGAGATACTTGATATGAATATGAAATTAGCCTGTAAGTGGGAATGCAAATTTAAAAAAACCCACACAACAAGGTGTTGCTGTGCTAAGAATTGTGAGTATTTTAATGCTAGTTCAAGCCCTGCCCAACCACTGCTTCTGAAGCCCTGTTACTCTTAAAGGTTTCTGTTTTAAGCGTGAACATGCTATTGAGCTCTAGCTGGCAGTTACTGAAAAGCAGGTTTCACTTCATAATTGGCAACTTGCCTGCTTTACAGTGAAAATGCAGCTTAATTAGGTCAGGGATAGATTTGGAGATCTAATGTGACCAGTAATTCCTCACAAGGTTGTACTGCAGCCATTCTCCTCTCCCCCTTTGACAATATGATTTAATTCCAGTTGCCTGTTCCATTTCTGTCTCACTTGTACAGAACATTGGCCTTTCAGGAAGCTGGTCTCTACTCTCAGCCAGAAGCTAACAAGCAGCTGTTCTGTGGAATATAATCATCAGATACTAAACGAAATCTTTAATTGGCAATGGGTAAATGGAAAGATATAGAATATTTTTCTGTCTGGAGATGGAACTTGTTTGTTGTTTAGAAAGCTGGACATATGACAATTATGGATAGACCCCCAACAGATATTCTGGCATCCCTGTTCCTCTTCTAAATGCTTTTTTGCTGTTAACCACTGGAGCTTCTTAGAGTGAGGGTAACTGCCTAAAAATCTTAATTACATGAATTCTTTTCTGAAGCAAAATGCCAGAGCTGTGGGAATTTAGTTTCTGAAGCTGTTTCATGTTTGAAGCATGACACTTCAACTGTTGTTTCATGGCTATGGCATAAGGAGTTCCTGATCAAACCTCTTCCCTATGATAAATTTAGCTATGGCTATCCCTGCAATGAAAGTATATGGAGGAGACTATAACACCTTGTGGCCAGGAGTGAAATGATGCAGTTACCTGACTGGGCTGAAAAGTCACAAATTCTCATGGTTTTTATATATAGAGATGTCAGATGCTTTTGCTAAGAGTGCAAAGCTCCCCCAAGCTAATTAGTAAAAGAATCATAAACTATCTCAAGTTGGAGCAGACCCATAAGGATCATCAATTCCACCTCTCTGTTCCTTGTAGAAATACCTAAAACTAAAGTATATGACTAAGAGCATTGTCCAGATGCTCTTTGAACTGTGACAGGTTTGGTGCTGTGACCACCTCCCTGGGAGCCTTTTCCAGTAGCTGACCACTCTCAGTGAAGAACCGTCTCCTCATGTCCAGTCTAAGCTTCCCCTGGTGCAGCTTCATTCTCTTGTATCCTATGATTGGTCACCAGAGTGGAGAGAGAAGTAACTTCCCCTCCACTGCTGCCCTTGAGGAAGTTGTAGACTGTGATAGCTGCAGGTGTGTCCTTTGCATACTAAAGGCAGTCCCTTTGAAATACTCATGTTTTTACCGACAATATTAGCTATACTGGTTCATAGATATGTTTGTGGAGGGGACCCTGAAGAGTCTCTTCATCCCTCCATCTAGTCTAATCTCATGTACGAAGTAGGGCTATGAGGAGCTCTAAACCAGGTCTGCTGTGTTTTACTTTCTAGTCAAGTCTTAGAAAACTTAAAAGGGTGCAGATTATGTAGCCTCTTTAAGTAATCTGTTCCTGTCAAGTTTTTCCTGATGTCCAACCTGAGACTCCCAAGCTGTACTGTGTGGCCATATTCACTTGTTGGCGTTTTCTGTTACTAGCAGGAGGAAGGTAAACACTGTAGCCCAGGTATTGCCCCCTGGAATACTTTCTCTGTGACCTGTAGGCCATCAGTCGTATATTATGTTGTTGATTGCTGCTTTCTCAGCCTGGTGGTCCAGCCCACTACTTCAGCTTCTAAGGAAGATTGCTGTGGGAAGGAAGTGTCTGAAGTCCGGATGTGCTGCATTGCATCCTTCACCTCATCTGCATTGCTATTAATGGTGAACTGCATAGCTGTCAAGTGTGATTTGACTGTGGCAAGTCTGTGTTGGATATTTCTTTGTCCTGCAAGTATTTAGGATTGAATTCCAATGGGAAGTGCTCCTTCATCCCTGTGGGGACTATAGTGGAAAAAAGCTAGTTCCTGTTCTCTGGATCTTCCTTTTATTCATAGTTGCAGCAGAGTGTTGGGTATATTGTCCTTTTTCAGGCCATTGAGGCCCTCCCATGTTTAATGTGATTTTTTTGTGGATGGCAGATAACTATTTCAGAATCACATTGGTCAACAGCTCTGGGTGGAGAGCTCATCACAACCCCATGGACTTGAATGCACCCAGTTTTTAGGTAGACCCTAACATTGCTTCCTCCTGGTGGCTGTCCTCCTCCTCTTCAGAGCCCACTGGCACGCACATAGGTCTGGAAGCAGGCCTGTCTGTGAAAACCAAGGCTAAAACCCAAGCTTTTTCTATCACCTGGAGTCAGGTTATTTCCCCCACTTAACAACAGCCCCCCACTTTTCCTTGAAAAATTCAAGAGAAAGAAATGCATTTTGCGCTGTTACAAATATCTGAAGCA